TCTCGACCAAATGCTAACTGTAGTGGGGAGTATTTATGGTATGCACTTGGTCTTATCCGAATGAGTGCTTCTGCATGCAAAATGACATGTCCCCATACAGAGGTTGGAAGTTTTGATCTCATGATCAATGGTCTTGCAATCAATTGCAGACGTTTAATTAATGATCCCGCCAAGCCATTTTATGTATGAACATGAGGTACAGAATGTTCAACTTCAATTCCCGTTACCATACAATAATCATTGAATGCTTGGGATGTGAATTCACCAGCGTTGTCTAGTCTAACTATCTTAATAGAATAATCAGAGAACTGAGCTCTTAATTTGATTATCTGAGTTATAAATCTCGCAGATGCCAAATATCGAGATGACAATAGACAAACATGTGACCATCTGCTAGATGCGTCAATCATTACCATAAAATAGTGGAATGGTCCACATGGTAGATGTATTGGTCCACAAATATCACCTTGAATTCGTTCAAGGAACTTTGGTGATTCTTTATCAATTTTGTTTGGCGATGGCCTTATGATCAACTTTCCAAGAGAACATGCTGCACATGTCATTTTATTTCCCTGATATATCTCCTGAATTTTCAGTGAATGACCATGTGAGCTTTCTATGATTTTTCGCATCAATGTAGTGCCTGGATGACCAAGGCGATCATGCCACAATGTGAAATCTTCTGGATTTCTTTTGATTACAAGATGCGATTCTATTTCATCTATATAAGTATGATGTAAACCAGAAGGAAGTTCTGGGAATCTTTCCAATACCTGTCTCTTTCCTGATTTATTAGAAGTTATATACATATACTTCTTTCCGTCCTCAGTAGCAGACTGAGTTTCATATCCTTGAAGGTATATGTCTTTGAAACTCAACAAATTCCTTTTAGAATTCGGAGAATATAAGGCATTCTTTATGGAAAACTTTGTTCCATTAGGCAATATAAAATTCGCTTTGCCACTTCCTTCAATTAAGTCCGTAGGACCCGATATTGTATTGACAATAACTTTTGTCGGTTTTAATTCAGAGAAAAATCTCTTATGTCTCAGAATAGTGTGTGTTGTTCCACTATCTGGTATGCAAATTTCTTTGATATTTTTCCTTGCTTTTGATTTGTTTGAATCCTCATCCATTTCTGTGGTTGAGATAAACATCAATAAAAAGAAAGTAAATTTCATTCATAAAAGGGAAACACACAATAATTATACATTAAATTGTTGTTAAAACAACATTATTCAAAATAACGAAAAACATAATATTATACATATATGGCATAAGTGGAGACTATTTCAGCAGTCTCACTATATAGCATTTTACTTTTCAGTAAAAGCGGTTTCATCCAAATCATCAAACCGATTTTTTAGTTCTTTCCACAGCTCCGCAGGATCTCTTGTCTGCGCATAATCATGCGTCAGATTATCATCTAGATGTTTTTTGAGAAAAACAATTGATTTCGCCTTTTCTGGAGAATACGAAGTATTTTTTTCTTTTATTGTCTCAGATATTTTTTTCATTTCTAGATGAAGCTCTATATTGGTTGTCCATGCTATATAATTTGCTCCACTTATTTATAGAGCCGGAAACTTGAGTTTCTCGATGTTTGCCATTTGTTTTTCTAAAATAAAAACATAGAATATTATTAGAAACCTTTATTTAATTTATTTTAAAACATGGAAAGCACCTATAAAAGCGTATAGAAATAAAATTAATACATATTTAAAATAAACCGTTTATATTAATAATGCAAGCGATTACTACAAGAAAAATGGTACAAACAAGTAAAATAATATTTAAACGAAAATCTTGCGGAGTAAATTCTACAACGCAAAGATTATAAATACACAAAATAATGATTACAAAAACAAATATTAAAAGTAATCGAAACATTCTTCAAAACTTCAAAACTTCAAAACTCTTCTTCTTTTTCTCGGAGAGAGTTTTTAGAGAGTTGAAAATTTTTGTTTTGATGAAATGAATGAGAAAATGAATGTATTTATAGATTGAAAAATATTATTCCTAGCCGTTGGAAAAAGTTGAATTTTTTGGAAAAAACTTTGAAATTTTTCTTTGAGACCGTTGGCGGAAAAAGATTTAAACAAAAAATTAATCTGAAAAATTAGAGATCAATCAGATAAAAATTATTGATTCAGATAAAAATTAATCCACATTTTGGTGCCGCCTGTGGGGACTTACCACAAAACTCTTAAATCTCAAAATCTTTCTTTCCCAACCAAGAAACTATGGCTGATCAGCAAGCATTGAGCGATGCAATTGCTTTGCTTACTCAGACAACCACCGATCTGACCAATCAGATGGGTACACTTGTTACTGCCAACACCACCTTTGGTGAAAGGTTGAACTCGATCGAGCAAACCTTAACAAGTGTTCAAACCACCCAGACGAATTTGTCAAACCCGCAGAACGCTGTTTCAAGCCGTTTAGATAATTTGTCCTCAGCGCGAACAACATCGCGTCAGCGCAGGTTATTCACGACTCCCGGGATTACTCAAACTCCTCCAGGAGGCTAGCCAGCAAGCACTAGCAATCTGGCAGCCGTAGGGGATGCGACTAACCCAACCGGGGAAGAAATTCCCCAGGGACAGGGAAATTCTCCTGTTGACGACGGATTTTATATAGAAGATATTGATGTCGCCCTATCGGACGATTTCATCAAAGTCGCCAAGAGCTTAATGAAATGAAGTCGAAATTTCATCAGGCTACCAGTTCGGCGCCTGAGATCGATGAGTAATCGAAGAAACTCGTCGAACGCCCTTTACCTCGAGAATCTCGAACCTTCAGATCAAAGATTCTCGAAAGGTTAAATTACCAACTTACGAGGGTAAAGGAGATCCTAAAAATCACCTCGCTGCTTTTCAGATCGCTGTAGGCAGAGTTGATCTAGAGCCAGGCGAGGAAGATGCCGGATTTTGCAAATTATTTTCCGAGATTCTTTCCGGACCGGCTCTGTGTTCACTCAGTTAGAACCAGAAACTATTGATAATTTTAAGGAATTGTCCTCAGCATTCCTAAAACAATATTCTATGTTCATGGAAAAAGCAACTTCTGATGCGGATCTTTGGAATTAAACCCAAGGTCAGAATGAACCACTTCGCAAATATATCGCTAAATTCAAAGAAGTGATAGCCAAAATTCCTGGGGTATCGCACGCAGCTGTCCTTTCTGCTTTAAGGAACGGACTCTGGCATGAGTCCCGAGTTTGGGAAGAAATCATCGTCAATCGTCCGAGTACCATCCAAGATGCTTTATTTAGAGCTACTAATTGGATGGAGGCAGAAGAAGAAAAGCTTAGCCTCGCTAAAAAGCATCGGCCAGCTAAATTAGTCGTTGCGAATCCAACTAAAAGATTCGAACCAAAAGACCAAAAACGGTTTGGAGTTAATCCTGCAACTAATGCTGTAGGAAAACCCTCTCCAAGCAGAGGAAGATACAATACTCCTAATACTTGGGTTAGAGATGAAAGTGCCTATTGTGATATTCATAAAATAAACGGGCACTCCACCAAAGATTGCAGCGTACTCAAAAAGCACCTCACCGAACTGTGGGCAGCTGGAGAGCTCGCTAATTTCAATATCGAGGAATTTGTGGAATCTTACCACAAAGAAAAAGAATATTCCGAAGTTTCTAATCCTCCGAAAAAGAAACATAAACCCAATGGGCCTGGAACTCCGAACACTCCTAAGAAAAGGATCGATGTTATAATTGAAGGATCCAAATTATGCCGAGATTCGATCAGATCAATCAAAAGGCATAAGAAATCAGCAGCAATTCAAACCGCTGTGGGTTTGAATTGCTGCCTTGCGAAAAATAGTAAAGAGAGAAAAAGTATTGTATTGCTCAGAAGTAATGAATAGTCTGATCTCCCCCAAACACATGCATTTGAGGTCATTTTTATAGAGAAAACATGATCAATACGGTCATTTACTGCTCATAATCGCATTGATCCGCATTAATCATGTAGGTTACATTTTGACCGAAACGGCTTGAATTTGAACTAACTTGGGCTTTGCGCGGATCTTCCGAACTCTTTCTTGTTGACTCCGAACTCCCGCGTCTTGACGCTGCCGCGAACCTCGAACAATATTCTCCTCGCTTTGGCCTTTCTCTATACGAACTGTATGTTGAATAAGAGCGAACTCCGTACTGGTAAGGATCGAACTCTTTTAGTAAACCGAATCGAACTCCCGACTGGTCAAGCTTGATTCTCATAATAAAATATCTTTAATTCCAAGAGTATTATTATGTAATAATGACGTGGACAGATCCAAGTGGATCCTACCAAAAATGTGTTGGATCCGACCCCAACATTTAGCCCCCCAAGTCTTGCGAGCTGAGTGCTCGGCTTGGAAGACTTAAGTAAACAGTAATTAATGACTCGAGATCTTTAACATTCCGGAATTATTCCATGTTTTACGCTATTACGCTGATCTCGGATAATCAAATGATTTGATATCCCTGACAACCGTCATCATTAATTTTCTAATTTTATATTAATAATGCGGGGAAAACCGTCCCACTTCCCAATATTCTCTAGGCAATTTTCTGCTAAATAAGGTTAAATGGAACGACGGCTTTTACAGCAACGTACTTTTACCTCTTAAAGCTTTTACCAAACCAGAAAAAGAGAAACCTCTTAGTAAAAGATGTCTTCCCCAGCCGTCTATGTTTCGGACAACGAAGATGACAGTCAAGGAATCCCTGTTCCCAGAGGGGACGAAGTCTTCACCCAAAGGGGAGACAAATTTTGTCCGCATTTCAGGTCTCAATCGACCTCTGCTTCCCTTGGCTCTCTTCGCCGCCTTTGTAACATCCCCCAGGAAATTGAATTCTCTCTTCCTAGATCCAACGAGTCTCCGGAAGTGGTGCGAGAGGGTTACTGTTGTGCGTACGAAGTCTATTTCAAATGTTGTGGTTTGTTTTTTCCCATACCGGAAGTTCTTCTTTTATACCTCCTCCACCTAGGGATTGTCTTTCCCCAAATGGCTCCCAACTTTCTTCGATACGTTCTGAGCACCCTGACTGTTTCGGCAGAAGCAGGGTTTTCCCTCTCCACCAGCGAACTCTTAGGGCTATTTCGAGCCCGTGAATCCGCAGCAGCGGGTATTTTTTCTATAAACCCTATCCTTGACCGTAACCTGATCGACGGAATGCCCTCGAATGATGGGCCTTGGAGGAAATACTGGTTCTTTTTCCGAGTCAATCCCCATTATGTTCAAGGTCTTTCTGGTCTTCTTCTCGCCAATTGGTCAGCTAAACTTGGTTAAAAATCCAACCTTTATTACTTTCCACTGTATTATGTAAAGAGATAGAATTCTTAACCCAACACTTTGTTTCAGGGAACCAAACGATCCCCCGCCCAACTGTTGACATCTTGTCCTTCTTTCGAATTTTTTTCGAGGGTGAAACAAACTGGAATTCCTTCACCCTCCAACGCATTCATAAAGTGGGGCTCGCCATTAAAGACGGTCAGACTCACCCCCTCGATCCTCCTCCCGAGGATAAAGACGTCTCGAGCCTGAATGCTCGAGATAAAAGAAAGATGCAGGCTGAAATCAAGGCTCTTAAGGATCAGCTATCCGAATTTGGGAGAAAGAAACGGATAGCTGCAATCTCCAGGGTTGGTAACTTCCACATGAAGACCCTCTTGGTTGATGATGGTTCATTAGAAACGCCCCTGTCGGCTGCGGTGGATACTCATGGAGCCGAGATCCTTAATGACCCTCCAGTTGCCACCGCAATTTGCCCTTCCGAACCAGGGCGTGAGGGAGAAATAACCTCCTCTCTTTGTGCAAAGAGGAAGGCTCCAGATTCCGATAATCTATCAAACGAGAGACTTAAAACCGTGAGATTAAGTTCTCCGCCACGAGTCTCTAGCCCTCTACGTTCTGTTTCTCCCTCTTCAGAACCTTTAAACACTGAGCTCCCTCTTCCGGGAGACAGAGTAATTTCAGAGGAAATAGATGAGCCGAGACCGGAGGCTCCCCTATCTCAAGGACTGAGTGGTAGGACTCAAAATCCTTTACCCGCTTCGATTTCAGGTAAGTTTTTACTTGGAAAGCGAGCATTGGCAAAACTTGTCACAGATTGCATCTATTTATTAATCTGCTATTCTCCTCTGCTTCGCAGGCGGAGAAGAGATTGGAGACATCTTCCAAAGTTTCCAAACCAGAGAAGGGGCGTCCCTTCTTCCTTTTAGATTATGACAACCTCCCTTCCTTAGGTAAAAGCTTTATGTCTAAACGACACGTTTTTTTTTTTACTCCGAAGGCGTTTATGGAGACTAATGGAATGATCTTCCATTATGAGAACCTTCTTCATCAAGCGAAGAGAGAGACCGCAAAGGATAAGAAGGAGGTTGACGAACTTAGATTAGCCAACCAATCTGAGCGACTTGAGCGGGAAAAAGCACTCGAGTCATCTTTTGAAAATATGAAGAAAACTCTAGTAGCTAACGAACAACGCATCAGAATTGCGAATGCTGAAAGAGATTCTGCGTGGTCTAATGTTCTTCGCTTGGAGGCTGAGCTAGAGGAGAATACGGCTTTGTTCGAAGAAGCGAATCAAGAGATCGAGCTTTTAACTAGGAACAGGGCTCGCGATATCGCTGAAGCCGAACATAATGCTCAAGAAGAGATGAAGGGATTCGGTAGCCAACTTATTCAATCTGTTACGAGGTTCATCAAGGACGAAGAGGTTTGGACTAAACTTCTAACAGATCGAGCCGAACTGAAGAGCAATCTAGACCTGATTAAGGAACTAGAGGCTGGAAGAGTTTCGTTCGAGAGCGAGAGGAGCAAAGTTGCTGCCGAACTCGCTGTGGTTGAATCCGAGTTATCCTCGGCTTCCCGTCCTACTCTCGATCTGAAACAATTTTCTTTGGTATTTGGAGATTCCCCCTCTCAATTCGAGGTAGGTGAAGGTTCTCGGCCACACGAGGGTTCTCCTGAGGCGGAGAGATGCTCTTAAAGAATTGTTTTGCTATATCCATAAGGACTAATCAGTTTGACGGAAATGTTTTATTTTTGATTAGTGTGATTGAACACCATTATGTATATATATATATATATATAAAAGGTGAAACGGTTTGGATGCGATTCTAGGTTTGAAAGTCCTAGCCCACCAAAGAGGTTTTATGAATTGTGAGAGATGAGCTGATCAGGCTCACTTGCCTTTTTTAAAGAAAAAATCTTAACAAGTATTTTTCCTCGGTCTCTCGGGTGCGATGATAGAGCTCGGCTTAGGTTTCTTTTTATCGAGGGATAAGGTTTTTACAATTCGTGAGAATTTTGTCATAAGAATGACCAGGTAATGGTTTCGATCATGACCTAAACAATGGCTCCGAAAGTGTTGGGCCATGTTTTAATTGGACCCGAAATCTGCTTTAGCGGGTCCATTATATATTATTCCTTTAAAGAGTCCGAACGCTTTCTTTGTTTTTTAAAAAAGAATCTTGAGAGACTCGTAGTTTTTTTTTTTGTAAGAAAAATGAGACTATGCCGCTATCCTCTTTCAGATCTAGCTCAAGAATAACAACCTCACGCGGGGATCCGTTGTTTGAATCTGAGGACGGATTTTCCCCCAAGGGAGTTATTCACCCCACGTTCTTCCACTTCCGAACGGGGGAAGAAAGGGTCCAATGTTATGACTTCCTGGAAAAGGTTCCCTTTCTGATTTTTAGTTTTTTTTTTTTAGAGACAAAAAACTCTTTTTTGACCAGTTAACAAAATGTTCGTTCAAACAGGTCGTCGGGAGACACAAAGCTTTATGTGATAAGAGAAAAAGAATCGGAAGAAGGCGCCATGCTCTTAATGAGCGAATAAAGAGGATAGAAAGAGAGATCCTTCGCCTAGAATCTGAACCGCACGAATGGGAGAGGAATGGTTTAGACATCGTGGCCATTATTCCTACTTGCCTCCGAAGATTCCTACGAGTGCTGGATAAATTTTTTCATCTATCCTTGGCAACCGGCGATGGATCCTCGTTTCTTTCGTGTTCTTCAGAATTTCGGAGATTTCCGATGTTAAGAACTGAAGAGAACGAAGGACCGGAGGAGAAATCTACTGATCATCCTTCCGGTCCCCTCGATCTATCTTCCGACGAGGGACTTTCCTCAGAAAGCTGTTCGGGATCATCCACCTCGCTAGAATCGTTATCGGGCGAAGACCTGATCGAACAAGTCCCTTGATATTTTTTCTTTTATTACTATGTAAAATACTATTGGGCTAGAGGCCCAGCAATATTAATTAAATTCCTCTTTTGCTTTAAATTTGCCGATTCACTCATCGTCAATTTACCCTCTTAAATATGGTCAAGTATATTTTGAATATAAAGCAGATGTAGATTGTTATTGAATTTATTCAACAATAATTCTACAAAAATGTTTGAGGAAGGTAATTTCTCAGAGAATCCCTTCGACTCGTTTAAAGTGATAAGTGATGATCTTCAGGAAACGTCATACATCAATCTTGTAAAAACGGAAGCTAACGACGAACCAGAAGAATCACGCCCACTAGGTTGGGGAACCAGCATTCAGGTTCCAAACGTGTTAATTGATAGATTACCGGCTCAAGATCGTGCCAAGGCCGAGGAGTTTATTACCAAGGTATTGTTAAACCTGGTGATTTAACTCTTTTTATTATTGCTAAACGAAGCATTTCATTTTCTTCACCTTATTATTCGGCACGACGAACTCGAAAATGAGAAACAAGAGATTAGGCATAGGATCATGGAACTAGAGAAGCGTCGCCTCGATATTGCTCGCGAGCTTCATCGCCTCGAAGCCCATCCTTCCGACTGGATCGAACTAGGACTTCAGGAGTACAGAAATATGCCAGGTTGTATTATGAGCATCGTTGACCTCGCAGGTCAAGGAGTAAATTTGTTCCGTAACTCTCAAGACCCTTCTAGATCTGGTCTAGCTTATTCATCTATAAATCGTTCGCAATGTATTTTTATATTCATGTTCGAATATTGAATTTATAAAAACAAGACTCCATGATAGGAATAATATTTTTATTTTTATGTTATAGCTGGACTCGTGTTTAGCGAGCTGCCTACGTACCCAAAATAGGATCAAGCCAAATCGTAGTTCGATTGTGTTTGCTTTAGCAATAGAACTTTTTCAAGTTGATGACGTTCCAAGGCCTTTGAACGGGATTTCCGTCAAGGTCTTGTAAACGGTAAACACCATTTCGGATTTTTTTTGTGATTTGATAAGGACCTTCCCAGTTAATACCGAGTTTTCCAGCTCCTTCTTCTTTTGTGTTATCGAACACTCGTCTTAAAACAAAGTCTCCTACATTTAAAGGTTTGTTTTTCAACTTTGAGTTATAGTTCGAGCGGTCGATTGTTGATTGTTTTGAAGTCGAATAAGGGATTGATCTCGCCTTTCATCGATTGTATCAAGAACGTCTTCTAATAATTTAGAATTTAGTTCTTCGTTAAGAGGAGCTTCGCTCCGGCGTAAACCAGGAACATTCAGTTCGGCTGGGACTACAGCTTCCATCCCATATACTAATGAAAATGGAGTTTCTCCCGTTGCTCGTCTCGGGGTTGTTCGATATGCCCACAGCACAGGTTGCAGCTCGTCATACCAACCATCTTTCCGAGCATTCAAACACTTTTTGAGATTGCTAAGAATGGTTTTATTGGAAGCTTCCGCTTGCCCATTTCCTTGAGGGTATCTCGGCGTTGAATAGTTAAGTTTTATTCCCCAAGCGGAACAAAAATCTTCAAATTCATTTGAAATGAATTGAGGACCGTTGTCCGTTACTATTTCGTAAGGAATTCCATGGCGACAAATAATGTGTTTCCACAAGAATGTTTTTACCACAAAATCTTGTATATTCACGTAGGCTTCTGCTTCGATCCATTTGGAAAAGTAGTCCGTTAGAACTAATAAGTATTGGACGCCTCGCGTTGAGCGATGCATCGGACCAACTATATCCATTGACCACCTTATGAAAGCGTATGGAGCGGATATAGATGACAGAATTTCAGATGGCTGGTGAATAAGAGGAGCGTGCATCTAACATTTTTTACACCGTTTGGCGTAATCGATGCAGTCAGAAATCATAGTTGGCCAGAAATATCCTAACAGTTTGATTTTGAAAGCCATTACTCGTCCCGAAGAATGACTACCACAAAGCCCTTCGTGGACCTCGCTTATCACTATTTCAACTTTGGGTCCGAAAATACATAAAAGGTAAGGATCGCTGACGCCTCGCTTGTACAATGACTTTTTAATTATACAATACTTAGCGCTGATGATTTTTAATTTGCGAGCTTGCCATTTGTTCGATGGTAGTTCTCCATTAATAATGAAATTTTTGATGGGTACCCTCCAGTCAGCCCCCCCAATCATTAGCGGAAGTATTATTAGGATCTTCGATTGTTTCCCGAACCTCTTCATCACCTGGAGGTGTCTGTTCAGTTCGAGACGGTTCTTCAGCGGGAACCTCTTGATCCTTTAATTTTTTTCTTGGCTTCCTTTTAGGAAGTTCCAATGGTGAAGTAAGTTCATCATTTTGAGATTTTACTCGTGATCTGGTGACCACAAATGAATTATTTTCATTTCCGGAACTTGATTTTGGAATTTCGATATGCTCGGCCTCCAAAATGTTATCGTTTTTTGTTTCTTCAACCGAAATACTTCGCGAAGAAATATATTCAACTGGGATAACTCGTTTGAGCTCGGGATCTGAGGTAGAAGCTAGGGCAGCTAAGGCGTCTTCCGAAGTGTTTTCTCCTCGAGGTATTCGAACTAACTCGAATTCTTTGAATTTTCCGGCTAATTTTTTGACAGTCGAAAGATAGGCTTCCATTCGAGGGGCCTTAGCTTCGTAATCTCCAGCGCACTGGTTTACAACTAGCTGAGAATCACAATAAGCTATTATTTTTTCTGCTCCAATTGCGAGAGCAAGCCGACGTCCTGCTAAGAGAGCTTCGTATTCTGCCTCATTGTTCGAAGCCGGAAACATTAATCGAAAAGACTGTTCGATTATTTCCTTTGTTGGAGTTTCGAGCCTAATACCGATTCCGGATCCTTGTTTAGAAGAAGAGCCATCTACATGTAATTTCCATGTAGAGTCTGTTTCAATAAGGATTCCATCATCTAGTGGTAGTTCGGTAAGAAAATCAGCCAGAACTTGTGCTTTTGCGCTAGTTCGACTTTTGTACTCTATATCGTACTCACTGAGCTCGA